GTGTGGATAATAAGGGGCCATACCGTGTGTTGGTGCCATTTTGCAGCGATATTCTCTATAAGCTAGAAGAGGTGCTCAATAGCTCCACGTGGGTCTAACAGATAGTCTTTTTGGCTATAATGGACCCCACCGGTGAGCGATCACTGCTAATCACTCAGTGCTGGTATTGTTGGTGTTGTGCATTGTTTCTCACTGTGGTCTTGTTCACATATTCATGCACATATGAAATGTCAGAAATAGTGCTGACGGGTTGCATGGTGTGTGTGTAGTGTACGCCTGGAAGGATACCTTGTAGGCCTACATAAGGCTATTGGATCCCATCAAGGACAAGTTCGTGTCAGTAGATGCCATGATGGATGATATGTCGGCTGAGCTGCTAGAGTTGTGTCTTAAATTCACGAAGGATATTGGGTGGTTAGAGACATCGGGACAAGCAGACCTGCTACCCCATTCTGGATAGCAGACCGTGCGCAAGCTGAGGGAGAAGTGCACGGGACACAAGACGTTTGACACCAGCTCCGAGGAGGACAATGATGCAAAGCAAGGCCGGGGCCCAAGGGCAAGCGGCGCCACTAGGCATAGCCAGTCTACAAGTACTGCAATAGGTGACGAACTGACGGATGTCACACAACGTTTGATTGTGTGACACATTCAAGAGTTCCTAACGGAACTCTGGATTTTGTGTGAGCCGGATGCCCCATGAGAGGAGAATGCACCAGATTATTAGGCACGGATCAGTGCTCGATAGCCCATAGTGGCATGAGTGGCCCGGCACTCATTGTGTGTGCCGGTTGGAAGTGGTGCATCAGAACGGGGCTTCTCGGTATCCGGCCATATTGTGCGATATCGGCGGGCATCCTTGGGGGATGAACGCATTGAGTAGCTCACATTTTTGTCCGGCAACACCGAGTTGGACTTGTAATTTTTTGGGGCGACTTTGGCTTGTCTCGAATTGGACTATGAGTGTGTATATGATTCGTCTCAATTTTGGCTATGTGTCCAACTTATACATTGGGCAATGTGTATGTCGTCCTTATTGCAAGCTAGGTGTTATGTGTGAAATATGTCTCCTGGGTTTGAATCCGGCCTTATGATTGCCTCCCAAACTTGCACTGGACCGCCAGTGCCCCTCCTTAACTCGTAAGACCGGGAATTTGCATAGTATGTTTCTGGGGAACGGACTGGAATGGACCTAAATGGATAAGGACGGATCCGTTCTTGTTTATGAACGGATCCGTTCTTGTTTATGAACGGATCCGTTCTTGAGCTGGGATGGATCCGTCCCTGAACAGGAATGGATCCGTTCGAACACCATTCCCGCCTGACGCAGATCCGATCCAAATCCATTCCTAGGGAATGGCCCAGGAACGGACTGGCACGGATTGGGATGGATTGGGATAGGAATGGGAATGGGTCCATTCCTGGGATGGGAATAGACACCGTCCCCATTCCTGTTCCTACCCCATTTGGCCGGGTCCACCTCTGGCTGATGTCGGTGAGGGCATGCGCGAGTGGGTGCAACGGGGGGGAAGGTTCGCGATGCGCGGGGCGCCAGTCTGGCGGGCGGCGGTAAAGCCGGGACGCGAAAGAAAATGCGCCCTCGCCGGCGCGGCGCACTCCCCTCACGGCGTTGCTCACAATCTTCCCGTGCTTGTACCTGTGGTGGCTTAGCGACTGCGGTCATGCTGGGTCTCGATTTGCGGCACTCGGTGCGAAGAGCGATAGCCTCTGCGCCGTGCTGCGCCCCTTATCACAGAATCTGGCGCGTTCGCGCTCATCTTCCATTCTTAATTGTGTTAGGAATACTGCTCGGTGTGGCGGTTGTGGGGAGTGGTGTTGTACATATGATAGGGGAGCCATTTAAGGGGAATTGGCTATAGTGAACGAACGGGGACGGCTTTGGGATTGGATCATAGTTGGGGATGGCGGCAGGAATAGGAGCTGAGGAAATGTGGGAGTGAGGGAGAGTGGGAGTGGGTAGTGTACGCGGGTAGCTGCTGGGCTAGTTGGCAATAGATCATAGTTGGTCTGGGCAGCAGGAATAGAAACTTGGTATGAGAAATGGACATGAACCCAACCAGCTCGTGAAAGTGGCCAGAGTGGTTATTCTGGAGACAACAACTCATGAACTGTCACACCATCGTACTATAAATACCACTCGCTTCGTTTGTAATGATGGGTTCGGATCGTGAGTGATAAACCTGTCTTCCCCGCGCGTGGCCGTCGTGAATGCCTCCCGTACCCACGGGGTCGCCGCAGCCCAAAGGCTCATTGCGCAATTGAGCCGCCCAAAGGCCGACACGGCGTCGGTGCGTTACTGATTCATCGCGTGCCACCCGCACCAAACACGGAAGCCACCGCGTCAGCCTCGAGTCAGGATCGTGACCCCGTGAGCTAAGCAAACAAGCTGCACACACCCCTCCCTGCCCAACAGTTCAGGCTCTTTACCCGCGACAGGGTCCCAACGTCCGCCTTGCCGCGCTGCAGGGAGTCCCAGGCAGCCGACAGCCCGGGCGCGGCGGGATGTCCGGCGACCTGAGGCAGCACCTGCTGCCGTCAGCGGCTAGCAGCCCGCCCGTCCTCAACGGGCGCCTCGTATTGGATGCCGAGGTAATGCAGCTCTAAGCAGAATACAGATGTCCAAGGCCCTGGTGGGGAGGGCCTTCCTTCCCATGTGCCACTGCCATCTTGACACAACAAAAGCCCGCAAAGCAATTGTGAAGGCTGCCCAGCGTGGTGGACAAACTGATGATGATATGTGATTTGGCGCCTTGCGCGGCATGCACGGGGAGCGGCAAGTGGAGGCCACGTGGCATCGCCCCAGCGGTCCTCGAGGCTCTGATTGATTGTGCGTTCCGTTCGGCCCGTATCGAGATTGCCTGCGCCCACTGTGGCGACCGGTTGATTGGAAAGCCGCTTGGTGCGTTGGGGAGAGAGGCGGTTGGGTGAGATTTGTTGCACAGAGAAAGAGCGACCGAGCGCAGGTTTGCGTTGAGATTTGTAACAGAAAGGGAGAGCAACAGAGCGCGGCGGTGGGGTGAGATTTGTTACAAAGAGAAATTGTAACGGAGAACGTGGTGGGGAGGGCCGGCTGGGAGCGTTGGGTGCGTGCTATCCGCTGTGCAGTGAAGCCGGTAAGGCTGTGAGCATTGTGTGGCCCCCGCTCTGTCGGAACATGCCCGCAAAGGGCCTTGTTCGTGTCGCGGCGGTGTGGGGAGCGCGCTGGGCGATATGGTGGCACCGCGCATACCCCCCAGTGTGAGCGAAAACGACGATCATTTGCTTCAAGGATGGGAATATAATTCCGGAAAAGCTCGGTGTCTCTGTGTGGTTGAAAGGGAGGCTCTGCGCGCAGTTAGGGAATCTTAGGGCTCTGACGTGCGAGACGGTCAGTACTTGCCCCTCTAATGGGACAGGGGTGCCGCCCCCACAGAAGTAACAGGGCCATTTGATTCTATGCTGAAATTGACCTGGCATGGACAGGGGGCAGTTGGGAAGGCAATACAGGTTGAGAAATGGGATTAGTAAGTTGAGAATTGGGATTGAATTGGGATTGATGTTGCTATCTTCCCTGGTTCCAACTGGACACCAGGGACGTTTGCTTCATGAGCTGCCTTTGAAATCTTGAAGAATATCTAGCAAATGGTGCTTTCTTGCTGGCCTTGATTGGCATGATGGAGTGAAGCGAGGCATGCTGATTCCCATACCTCGTTGGCCTTCTTTGGGGCTGCATGTGGGCTCTGCCCTAATTTGAGGCATCGAAAGAACTGCAACCAACCGTGGCTTGCATTTCTGAATTTCTTCTAACTTTGCTGGTGGCTAATGATGCCCCTGCAACACCATCCCATGCTCCCCGTTATGCTCTTGACAGTTGCAAGTGCCACATGTTGGCCTCATGAATTGATGTTTGTGGGCTTCCATAAAAGCATGGATGTAGAGTGCAGCCATGCACTTTGGGCAACAAAGCTATTCAAAGACCTATTCGATTTGATTGGAATTCATGGCATTGGGGTTGTTGTAACACTGCTATTTAAGCACTTATAGACATCCTTCTACTGTTATTAGCCTATCATTATGAAGTGTACATTATTGTCTGGCTTTATTGCACTCACAAGAACATGACAAAGCCCTTGAGCCTGAATGGCAATAGCGGACTGAGCTCCATCCACAAGGTTTGTGGGAGAAAATTTATGATCCTCCTCATCACAGAACATTCTGGCATCCTGGAGAGTTATGGGAGAATTGCTTTTATCCTTGAGCGTTCAAGGCTGGGCTGACATTGCTGTAAACATATTCTGCTGCAGGCTGTGCCCTTGCTGCAAGATGGCGCCCTTCCTCCCACTCTACCACGGCTATCTCATCTGTGGGACGCTGATTCATTGAAATATATCTACATGGTGAGTGTACTACCAATACCATAAACCACCCCAATGTAAATTGGAAAAACACTTCAGCAGACGTCATGGCATATGCCATTTGCCATCAACCACTGCTACAGAGTGTAGACCAGTCATGACCACCGCTATAAGTTTTATGTTATTGCACACAGTGTTTGAAGGATTTGGGGACAGTGCTGCCATGAAGTAACGACAGAAAACATGGGTGCATGGTACCAAATCATGGCCGTTGCATTTGTCGCAGGATATGACAGATCGCTGCACCTGCACAAATACGCCCCAAGAGCTGCCAGTGTCCAGAAAAGAAAAGGCCAGTGTCTGATATCAGAGCAAAGTGTTCATGCACAGCACTGGAGCACATTCATACAGCATAGCACAGCACAATGCCACAGCAAGGCTTTGATCTCAGCATATGCAGGCAAAATGCACCACACCACAGTACTGATGCACTAAGCCACATAACTTTCTGTTTCAAGACTGCCAAAGTCACAACAACACACTGTCCAAACACCTGGAAGATGTGCGTCCAGACCACTAATTGATCCATAGCTGTTTCTGGTGTCCCCTTCACAACTGAAACAGATGTGGTGCTTGTATTGATAGGGGGCGTGGTCTGGACTGTTGGTGCTCCAGTTTGCGCTAACCAGGGTTCTGGCAGAAACACTGTCGATGCCATCAGATGCTGACACCTTTGACAGGCATCTGATGTACGAAACGCTGTCGCACTTTTTACTGTTTGGGTTCTTGCTGGGTTGGTTCATCAACATCACCGACCACGACCGATTCATTTGGCTCTTCAGTTGGTGAGTTTGAATGAAATTCACAGGAATTGAGGCTTTCAGTTTCAGACAGCAAAGGTTGCGTTCAAGGCCCCCTTCTCCCCCAACCCCCCCACCCCCTTTCCCCCCAGCCATATATTCTGCAAGACTGTTTTCCATGGTATGGAGGAGAGTGCAGAAGTGTCTGATTGCATAGGGCATAGAAAGTGATGCAGAGGTGTAGTTTGTGCCACAACGGCACACTGTGGCCAAGGTTGTGCCTTTGTTTCTGCTCATAGAACGAAAAGGAGGCTGACTACCCCTTTGATTGGTGCGATAGTGTCTGAAACCGCCTGTTGTGCCCCTGATTGGTCAACTCCACATCCATGTTGTGCAGTCCAGCAATTGGCATTGCTGACAATTTTTTGAGTCACGGCACCTTCAGCCCGTACACTGTGCATTTGAAGCACCTGTGGGCATATGTGCCCACGTGTTCATGCACTTGTACTTCTGGCACTGTGTATAAAATGTCATAGAACTTGCAAAACAGTGGAGAAACCCCTGCTTGCAAGAATCTGTTGGGCTCTTTACAATTTACAACGCTGTCAGAGCCATTGACGGCAGGATGGAACCAAGATAAGCTGCATGCCTGAAAGCAGCATGTGCTCCAGAGGTGTCCACAGCACCTGACAATAGTTTACTTTCCCTGAATATATGTCGTCACTGTTTGCTGCAGTGTCCGTCGCGACAGCATTTCAACCCAGCACAAGAATCGCCATTTGGATGTGTGCACTTGGTTGTGTGCTCATAAACGGACACGTGTGCATGTGTTTTTGTGTCATGGTGCTGTGCAGGAGACGGTGGTACTTCTTTGTTGTTTACTTTGGGACCAGCCCTGTGTACTCATATGTGAGTGACTACGGCTGCATGGAGCACAGCATGGAGGACATCGCCAACTGGGGCCCTGGCATGTGGGCTGCAGTAGGATCGTGTACGACACTACCCACCCAGATTAACAAAATCAGGAGCTTGAACATCCTTGGAATGAATGCTGTGATGTGTGCAGAATGCTGCTGCACAGAGAATGTATCCGGTAACTGTTCAGTTCTGATCAGCATTTGCGATCATAGTAGGCAGCACATTGCACACAGGTGATCGTTGTGCAAACTCTATGCAGTGAGGATGCGGCTGTGGTTGCTGTGTAAGCTATCTGATTGCATTGTTGTACACTGGCACAATGCATGCCTCCCACCTTTCGGGGGTATTCTGGTGCATAGTTCAGCTGGCAGATCATCCAGAATGCGATCTTCATCGAGCACCGTTGGATGCCAAAACTGAAGATGCTGTGCGCGTGGCCATAGTGGGCGGAGTGGCTGTGATCTTCCTGCTTGTCCATTTCTACCTGGCCATGAGGCGCCAGACGACAGCTGGTGCCCTTGTCTATCTGATTGCGAGGCTATTCGTTTTTGGGTAAGTGGTGCATAGGAAGTGCTCCACTTGTGTTATCTGCTGAATAGGCTGAGCTCTGGACAAGGACCCATGAGGCAATGAAGGACAATAAACACAGTACTTGGCAGTTGTGCTACAGCCAGTGGTGCTCAAAGTCTGGACAATCTGTGCATTTGTTGTGAATAATTGTTGTTATTCTGGCAGTACCCCAGCAGGTATCCACCCTGCCATAGCAGTGAATTTCCCATTGACGGCGACACATATCCCAAACATGTATTCACAGTGTTGCATTGGTCAGACGCTGCCAGTTGCTCTTGCTCTCTCGTTTCTTTCCAATCATAACTTTAACATTCACCAGTATGCATATCCATCATGGATTACTAAGTTTCTTTGTCATTACTATAGCACTTGCATTTGCCGTCACTGTAACACTTCACCATTGTACAGAAAGAAAACACAACGCAGCTCTTGCACCTACACGATGATCTTCCAGCAAGAAGTGTGCATCCAACACAGCACAATATTAAACTCGCCGTTAGTCATTAAGCACCTCACCCAATGACGGGCTCATGACCGACAAAAGGGGACTGACTGGGTGTCACTACACCATATCCTAGTCAGCTGGACATGGACAGCCGCCCAGAGCTGCGAAAAGCAAAAAGCAGGCTGAATATCTGCGCAATATTAGCTGATAGTTGGTAAAAATGGCCAGCCCGTTTCTGGGCACCAGGAGGAAAAGAGTGACATGGAGACATTGAAAACACTCAAAGGCCACACAGAGATGCTGCTCACACTTTTTAGAGGCACTTTACTGCCTCAAGGACCATGCAGAAATGGTCCTAAAGCAGTACGAAAGAGATAGGAGACATACCAGATGGTGAAAGGCCGAAAGCTTAGGGGAAACGCTGCCAAGTTTTCCCGGAATACAGCTAGAATAGATAGAAAATGGATTAGAACATTATGCACAATGCTTGAGTACTAAAAGTAAGGAAAAGGAGGGGGAGATGCTGCCAAAATTTTGAAAAAATGCAACACTTATGGCAGCAGGACTGTGCGGCAGTTTGGGAAACAATATGGACTAGAATCTATGAAAATGACAGTGAAAGAACTGCTGAAATGTTGCATAACGTTTTACCAAAGTGAACAATTGAATTCTGGTAAGAATTGCGACGGGTTTCATTGAGTTTGGACACTGTGAGGCTGCTATTTTTCATTTATTCAACCGCAATGCATCATGCGCTGTGATTAACAACGTTTCTGATGGAGAGAATGGCATTAGAAACATGTCCTAGTTCAGGACATAAGTGCATAATAGTTTAGGGGTAAATTCCATCGTATAGGGGCATGGGGATCACTAGGAGATGGACCATAGGCAGATGAGGGACGTCCAACGGTATTGCCTTGAGATTGGACAAACAAGCCATCACAAAAGCTTGAGGTCTTTGATGCAATACATAGGGCAATTTGTTTTCTGTCATTGGGATAGTCAACGGGTTGATTGATGCAGTAGGCTATTTGAGGAACATTGGAGAATGGCACCATAGTTGACTGATAGTCGTATTGCCCAATTGGACGTGGAACTAGAGTTTGTATGATGGTAATTGGGTTCCAATTTGCAGTCACTTTGGACAGGAGTAGGTTAAGAGGATTTGGAGTACGTTTTGGGTGTTTGAAAGACCAGCAGGTCACACTGGTAGAATGGACATATCTAGGAACGAGAAATAAAACTAAAAACTACCAGCGGACATGTTGACATATGCCGTACACAATGCACATGCATTGCAGTACGACACATCTATTGTTGGCTTCACATTTCGTTACATTAAACGGACCGTCCTGAACTGGCCTCTTGGAGTTTGATCACGTGTTGCAGCTAAGTGCAATGTGCAGTGAGCTGCCTGGCCCCCCGTGGGAGCGTGCAAGCAGGCAGAACTTGGTCCATCGGGCTGCTCCTCATGTCGTGGTCGACTCGAATAGAAGGCATGGACTAGGGCGACGAATTTGTGGCGTTGGCCCCGGTTGCAAACGGCGAGGGAGCTTCAGTGACCTTGCTGGCAATGAAGTCGATGTGGTGTAATGGCCATTCGGTCATATAGCAATGAGAGCTATGGGACACAATCAAAGGGGCGGACGGCATGCTGCTCGAATGGGTTCAGCCCTCAACGCCTGCGTACTTGACCATTAGATTAGACTTGCCTTCGAGTCTTCATGGAGCTGGCGGATGGGGAGAACGTTGTTGCCGCTACGCCTCTTGATCGAGGTATTGGTGGTAGCGGCTGTTCCAACTCCTCGTTGGGCCTTCGAGCACTTGCAAAGCATGTGCCATACTCTCCAAGCAGATGCTAGCCTATGAGATGTGCATTGGTAGGTTGCATGGACGCATGCAGAGGTGGACTTGTTCAATGCTCTGCCCCGTACTTTGATTGATGCATCAACACCATCCCTTTGCCATTGACCAAGGGCTATTGTAAGGTCCATATGTTTCTATTCCTTTGGTTAGCGAACCTCGGGTGGGAGCTATTGGCCACGTCATATTTGAAGGCGTGGCTTTAGTTCTAGGGTATAGTAAGGGTCCTTATATACCCCCCCCCCCTTTACATGGCCACAAGGGGGGGCTATTGGGGGGCCAGAGCGTTGTTGTGTTGTTAACTTTGTTTTAATATATTAAATAATAGATTTAGTCAATATAGCCTTAAATAATGGTGTGTAGGCGCTGTGGCAATGCTTGGCAATGGCGTCAAGTGGCAATGTGCCTGCGCAGCAGCGTGGCATCGTGACAATGTGGAAGCATGGCGGTGTGGCAATGTGGCAGGGTGGCAGTATGGCGGGGTGGCAACATGGCAGCGTAGTGGCATGGCGACATGGCGGCACAGCAACGTGGTGGCGCAGCAATGTGGCGGCATTGTTGTGATTATCACAAGCATGCAATGGCTGCACGACTAGTGTGCCTGGCCTGCCAAATCAGTGTTGGGGTCAGTGGCGTTCATAGTTGCCTTGCATGCATGATGCGGATCTTGCTCGTGTGGTAAGGATTTGCAAGGGGGAGGTTGTTGTTTAAGGCGCCATTGCACAACCTGTCGGCCAGTGCAAGCATCAAAGTGTGGAGATTGGTTGTGATGCCAAAGCAACCGATTAAGAGTTTTTTTGATGACGATGAAGGCGACTATGATCATGGAAGCCCCTGTGACCCGGATTTAATGGAAGATGGAACTTCTAGTAGCGATAAGGATTCCGGCAGGGATATGGAGATAGATCCGTATGATGGTGATGAGAGAGAAAGAATGGACGCCACAACATTGGGCACCCCTCCCTATCCCTCTATTCTGTTGGTTGCAAGGAGCCTAGGCGGGTAGTGCCCACTTCCCTGTACATAGATGGAGATCTGCCTTGGAACGCACACTTCCCTTGGCCTCCCGGGGAGGCCTTGGGCCCGGGCCCCACAGC